AACATGTTTAAAAATGGTATTATGCTTAATTCAGGTGGTACAAAGGGCTTCAGCGATGTGATTTGGTCAGTCCATAACTACGTTCCCACTAGCCACATTACTTTCAAATACGATAGCTTCGACGGTGAAGAAGGTAATATATATGAAATTCATAGCCGAGAGAGGTTACAAAAAAACTAAAAATATTGTAATTCTAATTCTAAACCATAATATTAGTTTACCTTACAATATCCATTATGGCAACTGTTTTAAATTAATAATGGATTTATCAGTCCTTTTTTATATATATAAAATTATCAGTCCTCCTATTAGATGGTTTGTACTATAGATTGATTAACTCTCTGATCTAGTACAACGAATTGGCTTTAAAATTTTTATCAGTTCGGTTGGCTGAGTTAGTTTGGTTCCTGTCAACAAATTCTCATGTGGCATTCGAACTATTTACACAAATATTCATTTAAATGTAATAAAATTTTCTAGGTTTTCCGGGAAACGTGACGGTGAAAGTGACATACATGTTGATCGGCGAAAACAAGCTCGGTGTGAAAATGGAAGCAAAACCACTAAACAAACCAACACCGATCAACTTAGCCCTCCACACATACTGGAACCTCCACAGCCACAACTCCGGCGACGTCCTCTCCCATAAAATCCAGCTTCTTGCCGGTAAAATCACTCCTGTCGACGAAAAACTCATCCCCACCGGCGAAATCACCTCCATCGAAGGAACACCTTACGATTTCCTCCAGCCTCGCTCTATCGGAAGCCGGATCAAGGAATTACCCGGAGGTTACGACATCAACTACGTCATCGACGGAACAGCCGGGAAACACCTGAGGAAAACAGCGGTTGTGTCGGAAGAAGTCACCGGAAGGAAGATGGAGTTGTGGACAAACCAGCCTGGTGTTCAGTTTTACACGAGTAATATGATGATACGTGTCGTCGGAAAAGGAAAAGCGGTTTACAAGAAATACGGAGGGTTGTGTTTGGAGTCTCAAGGGTTTCCAGATTCGGTGAATCATAAGAATTTTCCATCGCAGATTGTGAATCCTGGAGAGAGTTACTTGCATGTTATGCTCTTTAGGTTCACTGCTCATTGAGTAGCTAGGCCGGTTTATTGGTACCCGATTAATAATTTCGGAATTTTATTATATATGTGACACATTCTCTCGTAGATGAATAATTCCGACTCATGCATGGTAATCAGGGGTTTCACTTTTCATTTTATTGGTCGAGTTTTTTTTATTCCCTCTCGTTATATAGCTAGATAGCAAGACGAGAGTACCACACTACCACATTTCGACTTTTAGACGTCCAATTTATGATGTTTTAACTTTACTCACTTCATAAATTGTTAAAACAGGGACTTCACTAGAGACAAATTTTCAACATTATTCTATAACCTTTTTCTTTTATATATCCGAAAGAAATATAATACCTTCTTTCAAAAAAAAAAAAGGTAACCTCTGTCGT